GTTAGATTTTTTTTGCCGAAAGTCAACATTTCATAATAGCTCAATTGTCTTCTCGCCCTGTGCAAGTAGTGAGTGAGTGCTAAAATCTGTGTGTTCTACAGTGAGTGTGAGTATGTAATATGTGTGTCTGCAATGTGTGTGAGTCTGTAATCTCTGTGTGTGTAGTGTGGATTATGTGTGTGTGTGTAGTGTGTGTGAGTGTGTAATATGTGTGTCTGTAGTGTGTGTGAGTGTGTGTTCTGTGTGAGTGTGGAATCTGTGTGTTCTGTAGTGTGTGTGAGTGTGTAATCTGTGTGTGTAGTGAGTGTGTAATCTGTGTGTGTGTAGTGTGTGTAGTGTGTGTGAGTGTGTAATCTGTGTAGTGTGTGTAGTGTGTGTGTGTTCTGTGTGTTCTGTAGTGAGTGTGAAGGACGCTACTGCGCAGTTGGAGGCAGTCGCCTTCCAACAACAGCGGGAGCAGCGACGCTCACAACAACGGGCAGGAGAGCGCCGGGCGGATAAAACGCAGCGAGTTGTCACAGTGGGTGATGCTTGCATCGGCCAAGTCATCTCAGCTCAGTGGCACCCCCAAGCGCTATTGTGACGTCACCGCCACTTTGTGACGTCATCGGCGATGGTTGTTATTGTTGTTGTGTGGAGTTTGTAAATCCCCCCCTCCCCCCACCCCTTGTTTCCGCACGTGTTTCCTCTGGGTTACCCCCCCCCCCTTTCCTCCCATAGCAAAGACAAAGATCCCCCGTGTAGCCCTCACAGACTGTTGGGGCAAGTGCTGTTAGCGAGCTCCTATTAAGGCCGACACCACGTCCGGCCAAGCTTTGTCTCCCTGCAAGGCGATGTTTACGGAAGTTCATCCCCCTAGGTCGACTCAGCCTCAAATGAGTACCTTGTGCGGAGTGTAAAACATCGCGAGTAGGGAGACAAAGGCGGCCGGGCGTGGGTGCTGGCCACCCACCCCACCTCGCGTAGCCGTTCTGGTCATCATCGCCCCTTCTCGCTAACAGCACTTGGCCCAACAGTCTGTTACAGCTATACGGGGGACCTTTGTCTGTTTTACATCCTCCATTTAGTAGGTCACGTGGTGCAGCACGTGCACGACCCCAATTACGAGCAGCAGCGACGACAACGACGATTATTGGCGGATGACAACAACGAGGCTTAATAATAATAACAACAACAACAAGAGCGATTTAAAGCTTTCGTGACTGCAGGGATTCATCTTCTTGGTTCTTTCGGTAAAGTCACGTAGAAGGGAAATAATGAAAGAATAAAAATAAAACATAATAAAATAATTCTCACGACGTTTCGGCCACAACGCAAGCAGCCGTCTTCAGGTGGAGAGCAGGTCTATTGGAAAGACAGAGAAGAACAGGTCTGTCGAGAAGACAGCGGTCTGTCTTCTTCTTGGTTCTTTAAAAGTCCCTTCTACGTGACTTTACCGAAAGAACCAAGAAGATGAATCCCTGCAGTCACGAAAGCTTTAAATCGAAATTTAGCGTCTGTGTTCTCGACAGACCTGTTCTCCACCTGAGGACGGCTGCTTGCGTTGTAGCCGAAACGTCGTGAGAATTGTATTTTATTACGTTTTATTTTTATTATTTTATTATTTCCCTTCTACGTGACTTTACCGAAAGAACCAAGAAGAACAACACGAGCGTTAAAGCCATCAAAGTCAAAATGGGAAACATTGCAATAATTGTCTTCACTGCTTCAACAACATTGACACTCCTATAACAGATAATTGATATATTTGCAAACCCATCATAATTCACAATTACCGTAATCTCCAGATTATAAGACGCACTGCACCCCCCCTCCATCCCCTGTATTGTAATGCAAAAGTTGGGGGGTCCGTCTTACCGTGTGTCTCTGTCTGTGTGTGTGTGGGGGGGGGGGTGCGGTAGCGTAGTGGTTAACGCGCTCACGGACCAAACACCGGTGACGATTATCTGAACCGGTCCTGGGCAAATCCCCTAGGTCGACTCAGCCTCAAAACATCGCCACCGGTTGGAGACAAAGGCGGTCGGGGCCTGGTGCCGGCCTTCATAAGGGGGCAGCACTTGCCCCAACAGTCTGGCAAGGCTATACGGGGGACTTATGTTGTTGTTGCGATATCAGATTTGCCTAACTTTGTTGGCACGCGTTTAGGGGTGTCGTCTAACACCAGAGAATACGGTGATTATTAAAAAAACACAGCAATAACAATAGTAAAATTTCGAATTAAAGCTTTCGTGACTGCAGGGATTCATCTTCTTGGTTCTTTCGGTAAAGTCACGTAGAAGGGAAGTAATAAAATAATAAAAATAAAACATAATAAAATAATTCTCACGTCACGACGTTTCGGCCACAACGCAAGCAGCCGTCCTCAGGTGAGGACGGCTGCTTGCGTTGTGGCCGAAACGTGAGAATTTTTTATTATATTTTATTATGTTTTATTATTTTTATTTTATTATTTCCCTTCTACGTGACTTTACCGAGAGAACCAAGAAGATGAATAGTAACATTGTAAAGACCAAGTATGAATTCTAGATTTGAAGCTTTCGTGACTGCAAGGATTCATATTCTTAGGTTTTTTTCGGTAAGGTCACGTAGGTAAAACATCAAAATTAATGAAAATAAAATATTTTTTATTTTATTTTATTTTCATTAATTTTGATGTTTTACCTACGTCACTTTACCGAAAAAACCTAAGAATATGAAGACCAAATATGATTTCTCGGTATAAAGTTGTGATTATGTGCGGAGGTGGTGAACGGGATCTCCATCTGTGTAAACAAAGCGATTAAACAACAACAACAACACCGATACGTCTATGCGTGTCTCTACACAAGAAGAGCTTAACCTGGTCTCGCCTATCCCCAACCACTCACCCGATCACACTCGCACGCTCATGTCGACTCAATTACACACTCACCGACCCCAAGCACTTAGGGACCGTCCATAAATGACGTCACGCGATTTTGGACGATTTTTGACCCCCCCCCCCCTTCGTCACACGGCGTCACAAAAAATCAGACCCCCCCCCCTCAAATATGACGTCACAAAGCTCTGCCCCCCCCCCCCCAAAAAAAAATAAAACATGCTTCTAATCTCGATTTAAAGCTTTCGTGACTGCAGGGATTCATCGTCTTGGTTCTTTCGGTAAAGTCACGTGACTTTACCGAAAGAACCAAGAAGATGCTTCAAATCGCTTTAAACTATTGTCATTGTAGTGCGTATTTAATGCGGCGCTGCACTCTGATGTTGTAGGAGAAAACATTTATTAAAGTCAATTTAATTAAGTAGAACGTGTTGTCTATATTTTTTAAAGTTGCGCATTTTGACGTGACGTCACATTTCTCAACCCCCCTGACCCCCCCCTCCCCTAGGTGCGTGACGTCATTTATGGACGGCCCCTTATGCATTCACTCACTCATACACCCATACATCCAACTGCTCACCCACTTCAGCTCACCTGTTCATTCACCCAACTATAAAGACAAAAGTCCCACCCCATATAATCCTGAAAGGCTGTTGGGGCAAGTGCTGTTAGCGGGACGTTCAGACATCGCACCAGGTGCACATTTACAGCTGAGTCGACCTAAAGGGGCGACGGGGGGGGGTTGGTTAACTCGCTCACCGTTACGCAGCCACTCCAAAACGGATCACTCTCTCGCACACTCACCCAAGCCGCTCACCCAAGCCGCTCACCCACCGCTCACCCATTGCCACCTCCAACCCACTCACCGCCACCACTCACCACAACCGTTAGTATCGTACATCGTAATCAATATGAATGCGAATTTGTGCTCAAATGAATCACCCTCAATATACCATTGGAACCTCATTTGCCAGTAAAAAAATATGATAATTGTTTTTTTTACCCTTCTATCTGGCAACAAAACTGACACCTGATACCTTTAATATGTTGAAAGTTCTGAGATTTCGAATCCAAAGCAGGATCACCATCATCATCTCGGTCAGTAAAATGAGCACCACATTGTGAAGAAAAGTCAGCAGTGGTTATTACACCTACGGACGTACTACTCCCCGCCATGGGAACGTGGAATGGACACAGCTTGGCACACAGACGCCATAATTTCCACCGCATCATCATTAGTGGTTGTGCATAAGGGACAGTCTTTGCCACATCCCGTCATAGAAATGTGGAGTTTCCACAGGTTAAATCAACAGTAAAATTTTGACTTAAAATTTTCCCGACTGCAGGAATTCATATTATTTGGTTCTTTCGGTAAAGTCGCATAGATAGAAAAAATGTAGTAAAAAAATTAAAATATAAAAAAACAAACGGTAAAGTCCCGTACATAGAAAATAAAATTAAAATAATAAAAAATAATAAAAACTCAGGCCTGATGACCGCTTGTGTTGCGATTGAAACGTCGTGAGTTTTTTATATTTTTTATTTTATTTTCTATCTACGGGACTTTACCGTTTTTATTATTTTAATTGTTTTACTATTTTTTCTATCTACGTGACTTTACCGAAAGAACCGAAGAACACCAGTTGTTGTTTTTGCAGTTGTTGCCCAGTGGCTCGGGATGAACTTGGCACCGTCACGCGACCGTGGAACTTCCGAGTCGCGCTTGACACAAGACGCCACAGCGATTCTTCCCGTCGCCGGGCTAAGTCACGGACATCCTGGTCCCCGTCAAAGCAACGGCGAGATGCCCAGGACGAAACAGAGACCACGAAACGTCCTCCCAAACGCGAATAAATTGCGCGCGGGGAGGGGGGGGTGGGGGGAATGGTGTGTGACAATCAAACTTAAAAATTCTACAAAACAAACAAAATAAATAACAACGATAATATATAATGTGTGTGTATATATAGAAATGTCATTCACTCGGGGAGAGAGAGAGGCCTTGGCGGGTGTGTGTGGCAAGCCTCGACGAGGAGTCTCAACGCTCGCTCGCGGGAGGGCCCTGCCCCATGGCTGTCGCTGGCTGGACGGCCCCCCCCCCCTCACGTGCCCCCCCCTGCCACGTGCCCCCCATCCCCCCCCCACCACGTGACCCCCCTCCGCTCCGCCTGCTGCGTCCGCCGCGGCGAAGTCGAAGAAATGGGCCCAGAATCGACCAACTTTGGCGCGCTGCAACCCGCTTGCTGCGCTGCCGTGTTACATCGCTGCCGCCGCTGCACATGTCCTCTCGCGCGACCGTCAAAACCACCCTCCCCCTCCACCGCCGCCCTCCAACTAAAGCGAATACCCACGCTTGGCCCCACCACCGTCGTCGCCATCGCTGTGACCACCGTCATCGCCACCCTCCGTGTGTCGCTGGTTGAGCCTCCCAGAAACTGTGCGGCCTTAATCATCGTCGCCATCGCCACCATCGTCACCATCGTCACCATCGTCACCATCGTCACCATCGTCACCATCGCCTTGCGTCTCTGTTCAGCCTCCCAGAAGTGTTGCTAGCCAGGGATGACAGCAGCAGCAGCAGCAGCAGAGACAGCTGCCGCTGGGGGTGCCCGTAGACTCGGCCGCGAAGCAATCACCGCCCCCTCCGCCACTGATGCCCGCCCACAGGCGTGCCCAGCCCCCCTCGTGCCACACAGGGGCAGCTGCCTCTGGGGGTGCCCTTTCACATTATATCTGAGACGGGACGTGAGATGCCACTCTTGGAGCAACGGAGGGCGGCCTCCATCAAACGCACGGGCCACGATCATCATCATTGTCACCTGGCTGAGCCTCCAAGACATTCTGGCAGGCACCACCATCATCACCATCGTCGTCGTCGTCATCATCCCCACGTGGTCCCCCCTACGCGTCATGCCTCCAGGAAATGTTGGTAGCCATCGCCACCACCACCATCATCGTCGTCGTCGTCATCATCGTCATCACCACCAACCCCACGTGTCCCTATCACGCCGCGCAGAAATGTAGAATCCTTAATCATCGCCACCATCATCGCCGCCGCCATCACCGCCGCCGCCGCCATCACCGCCGCCACCGCCGTGGCGCCGCCGCCATCAGGGCAGGCAGATGAGCGTCTTGCCCTCGTCGATGGCCTCCTGCACCTCGTCGCTGGAGGTGGCCACCTCGGCCTGCGCGGAGAGCACGGCGCACGCGAAGGCCCCCACGGTGGCGCCCAGCGCCGAGTAGAAGGCCCAGCCGAGCGAGCACGAGGCCGGGCGGAAGGGGCCCGCGCCGGGGCCACAGAGGTCGCGGACGCGCGGGGAGCCCCAGCCCGCCGCGTACAGCACCAGGCCCAGCAGCAGCAGCAGGCCTGGGGCGGGGGGGGGGGGGGGCGATGGGAGGGGGGGCGGAGCGAGGGGTTAAGTTGAAAGGTGAGGGGTGAGGGGTGGGGGTTGAGGGGTGAGGGTTGAGGGGTGGGGGTTGAGGGGTGAGGGTTGAGGGGTGAGGGGTGGGGGGTGGGGGTTGAGGGGGTCGAGGGTGGGGGTTGAGGGGTGAGGGTTGAGGGGTGAGGGTTGAGGGGTGAGGGGTGGGGGTTGAGGGGTGAGGGTTGAGGGGTGGGGGTTGAGGGGTGAGGGTTGAGGGGTGAGGTTTGAGGGGTGGGGGTTGAGGGGTGAAGGTTGAGGGGTGAGGGGTGGGGGGGTGAGGGTTGGGGGGTGAGGGTTGAGGGGTGGGGGTTGAGGGGTGAGGGGTGGGGGGTGGGGGTTGAGGGGGTCGAGGGTGAGGGTTGAGGGGTGAGGGTTGAGGGGTGAGGGTTGAGGGGTGAGGGGTGGGGGTTGAGGGGTGAGGGTTGAGGGGTGAGGGTTGAGGGGTGAGGTTTGAGGGGTGGGGGTTGAGGGGTGAAGGTTGAGGGGTGAGGGGTGGGGGGGTGAGGGTTGGGGGGTGAGGGTTGAGGGGTGGGGGTTGAGGGATGAAGGGTGAGGGTTAAGGGGCGAGGTTCAGGTTTTGCGAAGAAACAAAGCGTACATCATGATAGACTCATAGACTCGTAGACAGTCATTATAAACTCAGAGATGCGTTTCATTGTAAACTAATATACCTCGTCTAGTTAATAACCTCATCCCCAGGAGGTCGTACTCAGAATGTGTCAATGTTGATTTCCATATGCAGCGTGACGTCACTTCGTGTGACGTCACTTCCTGTGACGTCACTTCGTGTGACGTCACTTCCGGCGACGTCACAATTCGCGGCACAAATCCGAGACGAACTTTATTTATTTGGTTTACCGGGAGCATTCGAAAAACTGCAAGTAACGAAAAACTCCAAGTAGTTTTTTGTTACCTGTGGTTCTTTGCTATTTTTTGGGTAATTTATTTGAACCTATCTACGCGACTTTACCGAAAGACCTAAAGAAGAGCGAATTTATGTTCTAAAAAAATACAATAATAGGATATCTGCGAAAGGGCGGCACGGCACACGAGGGGGCGAGTGGCTAACACGTCTCCCCGCTGCCTTTGTCTTCCCAGTGCCGGTGTTTATACACACCGCCCCTTACTGGACATCTGTGAAAAAGAGCTTTAGAGATCATCTTCTACGTGACTTCTTGGTTCTTTCGGTAAAGTCACGTAGAAGGGAAATAATAAAATAATAAAAATAAAACATAATAAAATTTCGATTTAAAGCTTTCGTGACTGCAGGGATTCATCTTCTTGGTTCTTTCGGGAAAGTCACGTAGAAGGGAAGTAGTAACATAATAAAACATTATGTTTTCTTTTTATTTATTATAATAAAAACATCGAATTTCTTGACTGAAAGCTTTCGTGACTGCAGGAATTCGTATTCTTTGGGTTTTTCGGTAAAGTCGCGTCGATAGGTTCAAAAAAATGAACAAAAAATAAAACATTATTATTTTATAATAAAAATAAAACATCTTCTTGGTTCTTTCGGTAAAGTCACATAGAAGGGAAGTAATAAAATAATAAAAATAAAACATGTTTTATTTGTATTATTTTGTAATAAAAATAAAACATGTTATTTTATAATAAATATAAAACATTATTTTTATTATTTTATTATTTTCCTTCTACGTGACTTTACCGAAAGAACCAAGAAGATGAAACGAACGACTTTTATCATCGTCGTTAATAATTATCATCATCATCATCCGAGTCTCAGCCAATCGGTGTGCGTTGTGGCTACGGCCGTTATCAGCACGTGTGTGTGTGTAAACACACACACTTCCGGTGATTAGCTTAATTGGCCGTGTCATTATTCACAACCCAAGTTTCCTTTCCCCCGAGATCCCGGGAATTGCTGCTGCTGCCGCTTGATTCAACGGTACACACCTCCCCCCTCCATCATCTCTCTCTCCCATACACACGTCCTGTTTGTACGTGTGTGCGTACGCATGTTGAACTCCTTTCACACCGTGCGTGGCCAAACGTGATCATCAAAGGTGTTGGGGAAGGACAACGAACTAAACGCGACAAGCAGTTCTAAAGAAATTTGTTAACATTTTTTTCTAAACAATTTTTTAAAATTTTGCTAGGTAAGCCCCACTGAGCTATGAGGCTCCGTTTCGGAAGCGAACTGGCCTCACGTGAGAGCTCAACGAAGTGGCTCATCATCGCGTGGAAATGTACCGCAGCAAAATGCTCTAAACGCGTGTTGATGTCCATTCTAAATGTGGAGGGGAAAACCGGAGAAAAATCCACGCAACCACGGGGAGAGAAACAGACACACCAAATATACAGCGGGATCGAACCCACGGCCTCCTGCACACCAGGCGAGGTAGTTAACATCTAGCCGCCGTGGCGCCAATCACACCACGTCACACCGTCACATCGCACCGCGTCACCACCGGAGAAGCCTGCACTAGGCCGCACGCCGCGTCACCACACCATCGCCACACCGTGCGTCACCACACCAAATTCTTTTGTCAAGGCGCCCTTTCCCCCCCCTTCCAACCCAGCTTAAATATACGCTCCAAACATGGTGCTGTTTCATTCAGACGCTGTCTCCCCGACAGACCTGGTCTTCACCTGAGGACGGCTACTTGCGTTGTGGCCGAAACGTCGTGAGAATTGTTTTATTACGTTCTATTTTTTATTATTTTATTACTTCCATTCTACGTGACTTTACCGAAAGAACCAAGAAGACATCGCCACACCGTGCGTCACCACCGGCGACAGCCTGCACCAGGCCGCACGCCATCGCCGCGTCGCGTCGCGCCGCGCCACCGGCACCGCCACTCACCGGCGACAGCCTGCACCAGGCCGCACACGTTGAAGATGCTCTTGCGGGCGACGCTCTGCACGCACAGCGACAGCACGGAGCTGAGCGCCAGCAGCGCCAGCAGCAGCAGCGCCGCGCCCAGGAACACGGCGCTCGCCTGCCACAGGCCGCTGGCCAGCTCGCCGAACGAGGCGGCGTACGGCCCGCACGACTCCTCCGCCTCCCCGCCGGGCCCCGCGGGGCGCACCATGCGGCACCGGTTGTAGACGCCCAGCGAGGGACGGTACGCCGACGCGCCACCACCGACGCCCGCGGCAACCGGCGACACCGCCAGATGGTGGGGGGCCGCCGCATCGTCCAGCTGGTGGTGGTTGTGGTGGCTGTGGTTGTGGTGACGGTGGTGCTGGTTGCGGTGGTTGTGGTGGTGAGTCGCCGGAGACGGCGGCTGACCGAGGATGTCCGCCGGGCCGGCGGCGGCTCGAGCGGTGGAGCGGTTGGCGACGATGCCGCCGATTCCACCGCCGGTGACGCCGCCGGCACCGGCTCCGGCCTCCTCGCCGACGAGCCACTCGGTGCTGAGGAACGCGGCCATCTCCGCGAAGGCCGTGGCGATGCTGAGCAGCGTCCACAGCAGCGAGCGGCACGTGACGATCACCTGGCACATGGCGGAGGTCTGGCGGAGACACCACGGGGGGGGGGAGGAGACGTGAGACGAGACGGGATGGGAGGAAACGCGAGTCTGGAGCAGTGGGACAGCACGTGACCATCAGCTGGCAGGTGGTGGAGGTCTGACAGAGATACCACTAAACTATAAACTAAACTATACACTAAACTATACACTAAACTATAAACTAAACATACACTAAACTATACACTAAACTATACACTAAACTATACACTGAACTATAAACGAAACTATACACTAAACTATACACTAAACTATACACTAAACTATACACTGAACTATAAACGAAACTATACACTAAACTATACACTAAACTATACACTAAACTATACACTGAACTATAAACTAAACTATACACTAAACTATACACTAAACTATACATTTTTTACTTTACCAGGTAAGGCCCATTGAGCTATAAATATATTGTTTTCAGAAGCGACCTGACCACAAATGATAGCTCAACGAAGTGGCTTATCGCGTGGGTATTTATAGCAGCCAAATAAATACTCTGAAACGCGTGATGTTGATTCTTAATGTGGAGGGAAAAACCAGAGGACTCGGAGAAAAATCCACGTGACCATGGGGAGAGAGAGACACGACAAACTCCAAATATACAGCAGGCGTCAGGGTCGGAATTGAACTCACGACCTCCCGTATACCAGGCGAGGTAGTTAACATCTAGCCACCATGATGATGATGATCATGATAGAGAGACACCGCAAATGCCAAATATACAGCAGGCATCAGGGTCGGAATTTAACCTACGACCTCCTGTATACCAGGCGAGGTAGTTAACATCTCCTAGCCACCGTGATGATGATAGAGAGACACTGCAAACTACAAATATACAGCAGGCGTCAGGGTCGGAATGTAACCTATGACCTCCTGTATACCAGGCGAGGTAGGTAACATTTCGCCACCGTGGCGCCGCACGTGTACACTGCGCGGGGACACTTGGAGACACGCAGACAGCATCGGAGGAGTCACGAGCAGAGTCTGTCTAGCCGGGCGGTGGTGGCTACGCGCGCGGCGTGGAATCCGGCGTCGTGGAGGCGAGGGATTGGCGGGTCACCTAAAACGACGTGAACCTCCATCTCCCTTCCCGTGAGCGGGCGTGGAGGAGATGCCCTTACCCTGGCCCACCAGCAAAGTGCAGACTAATCCCGTCTGCCCCTTCTGTGTGGGATCGAGCGTTGCTCCCTCGCAACACGCGTGGGTTATCTCCCGCATGTGAGCACTCATTAATTGGACGATTGCAAGTGGAAATTATTGTAATTACGAAATAATCGAGAGCAGGAAATGGCACCTGACAATCACCTGGCACATGGGTAAGTCCCGTGGAGACACGGGGAGACGGGGCGGGTGGGGGGGGAGACACGGGGAGACGGGGCGGGTGGGGGGGGAGACACGGGGAGGCACGAGACGTGTTTGCCGGACACCAGAGGTCGCAAACGTGTTTTGATTCCTTACCCGTACCCGTACCCGGCCGCACCAGGGTCGCAAACGGGTACCCGTACCCTACCCGATACCCGGCTACCCGTACCCGGCTGGGTATCGGGTAGGGTACGGGTACAGGTACCCGATTGCGACCTCTGGGATGAAGCCATGTTGCAGGCGCGGGTGGGTTGATTCTAGAAACTTGAATTGTGAGAAGAGACAAGACGTTGGGAAATGAGTGACAAACGGTGACTCACCAGTGACTCACGGACTACCCGTACCCGTACCCGGCCGCACCAGGGTCGCAAACGGGTACCCGTACCCGGTACCCGTACCCGGCCGGGTACGAGTAGCCGGGTATCGGGTCGGGTACGGGTATCGGGTACCCGGTTGCGACCTCTGCCGGACACGCGTGAAAAATAACTTCACGTCTCAACGGATTCCTCCAGGATGAGTAGGCGACTCGCAAGGATTCAGATTTTTGAAAGGAGGAGACGCCGTCGAAATCCGGAGAGGAAATGACGTTTCACCGACGACGCCAAGAGATTTTTGAGCAGGAGGCGTGGAAAACACCGATTAATTACGGAATCTCAACGGCTTCCCAAGGACTCGAGTTCGCTCACCGCACAATCGCACCGAGTCACACGCGATAGCGGAAGGGGGTGTTTGTGGGGGGGGGGTCGTGAACCTTCGCAGACCCCCAAAATATTGGTTATGTCATAGACCAGTGGTTCTTGCGCCCCTTTCGTTCTCAATCGAAATACAAAAAGTATAGTGTCAATAAATACGTGTGGTTTGATGAAACAAAGTAAGTTTTACTGACGTGCCCCCGTGCTTCATGTGTGTTTCGATGGAAAAAAAAATCCGCCCATGTCTCGCAACCCCCAGCAAGGGCATCTCGCACCCCCAGGGGGTGCATGCCCCCAGGTTAACAAGAAGAACCACTGTGTTCTTGGTTCTTTCGGTAAAGTCACGTAGAATGGAAATAATAAAATAATAAAAATAAAACATAATAAATTAATTCTCGCGACGTTTCGGCCACAATGCAAGCAGCCGTCCTCAGGTGGAGAACAGGTCTGTCGGAAAGACAGCGTCTGAATGAACACCACCAGGCTTGGCAGCGTACCACCAGGCTTGGCAGCGTATATTTATACGCTGCCAAGCCTGGTGCTGCCAAGCCTGGTGGTGTTCATTCAGGAGGACGGCTGCTTGCGTTGTGGCCGAAACGTCGTGAGAATTATTTTATTATGTTTTATTTTTATTATTTTATTATTTCCCTTCTACGTGACTTTACCGAAAGAACCAAGAAGATGAATCCCTGCAGTCACGAAAGCTTTAAATCGAAAAAGAACCACTGTGATAGATGATTTTTGAGATTTTTCTCAAAAAAAAAAAACCTATAACCATTGGTGTATATTGACCTTTAAAGAAACTGTCAGCCTTCACGTCCCTGGCACGTGGGCGACCATCCTGCCCCTCCCTGCAGCCAGCCAGCCAGCAAAACTTTTGTCCAATCGGGTGTGAGAGAGTACGAGAGCGTATCAATACACGGCCCGGGGGTAAGGGTGGGGGTGGGGGTGATGACGTCAACACGACCCCACGAAACTCCTGGGCTCGACGCTGCGCGGTGCGGGTGATGACGTCACCAGCGCAGCTGTGGCGGTGACGTCATCACCCCCACCCCCCACGCGCAAGCCAGCCAGCCAGGCAGACAGGAATCCAGGGGGAGAAATACTCAAACGAACTCCGCGGAGGAAAGGAAGAGAGATTGGAGGTGGAACCCGTGGGCTTTCTCACCAGTGATGCCGTCACCCCGGATCTGTGGTTGTGTCAAATGAAAACGGAATTCTTACACAACTTAGTTCGGTTTCTAGAAATGATCTGTCCCTATTTCTTGAATGTTACAGCTGCGTGCGTCGCTGCTCAACAAAGACAAAGATCCCCCGTATAGCTTTAACAGACATTGCGGGACAAGTATTTGCTTGTCGTCCGTGACAAAAGAGCTTGATTGCTCATCAGATTTCTTCAGGATAAATATTCAGATGCTGAAGTGCTGGATGGCCAGCACCACCCCTGGCCAGCTTTGTCTCCCTATTGGACATGTTCACTACACACCGCACCAGGTACTCGCGTAACGCTGAGTCGACCTTGGGGAGGCCCAGGAAACGGTTCAGATAATCGTCGCTGATTCGAGACTTGAAGCTTTCGCGACTGCAAGGATTCATACTCTTAGGTTTTTAAAGTCACGTAGGTAAAAAATAATAATAAATGAAAATAAATAAATTGATTTATTTTCAATTGATTTATTTTCATTTAGTATTAAAAATAATAATAAATGAAAATAAATCAATTGATTTATTTTCTTCTAGATTTGAAGCTTTCGTGACTGCAAGGATTCATATTCTTAGGTTTTTTCGGTAAAGTCACGTAGGTGAAAAATTCAAATTAATAAAAGTAAAATACAAATAAAATAAAATAAAAATCACGTTTCGGAGGCAACACAAGCTTCCGTCTTCAGGTGGAACCGTCACAGCACGGTAGCTGTATCAACCTACGTGACTTTACCGAAAAAACCTAAGAATATGATTTATTTTCCATTGATTTCTTTTCATTTATTATTTAAAAAATAATAAATGAAAATAAATCAATTGATTTATTTTCAATTGATTTATTTTCATTTATTATTATTTTATTTCTATTTTTTTTACCTGCGTGACTTGACCGAAAAAACCTAAGCGTAATCGTCACTGATGTTGGCCGTGAGCGGGAATCGAACCCGGGTCGCCAACTTCCGCAGCACAGCAGAGCGCTAACCGCTACACCACCGCTCCCCACTCCACAACATCGACCACCGCCATTCGCCACTCAGTGGAGGTGAGGTCACCACGCCGCGTGTGCCAGGCTAGGTGCACTTTAAGGCCACGTGAAGTGTCGAAAGCTCGCTGGCAGAAGGTCACGGAACAGACCCCAGCTGGTGCCATGGGTTGACCGACTGTCAATGACACACACCCAGGCAAGCGTCACTCACACACACACACGTGAGTGAGTGAGTGAGTGGTCAAGGAACAGACCCCAGCTGGTGCCATGATGTTGACTGGCTGTAGATGACACACACACACACGTGTCACTCACTCACACACACACACGTGAGTGAGTGAGCGAGTGGTTAAGGAACAGACCCAGCTGGTGCCATGATGTTGACTGGCTGTAGATGACACACACTCACACACACGTCACTCACACACACACACGTGAGTGAGTGACTCACTGCGACCACAAGACTCCTCGCCGCTGTCCGACTGCGTCTCTACGACAAAGCAGCGTCACCAGTGAACAGGGAAACAAAACAAATTGCTGACGCGTCCTTCAAGTGCCCCAAAATGTGTCACAGCCCTCCCCCCCCCCTCGTCGCAGTGTACAGTGGGGGGCCCCCCCTCACCACCCAGGGCCCCCCAAACGCAGTGTAAACTGGGGGGCTCCTCCTCACCACCCAGGGCCCCCCACCACCCGGGCCCCCCACCGCAGTGTAAGCGTGACTGGAATGGTTTCAT